CCCTCTCCCCTTCCTTCGCGAAATTTAATAAGAGTTCATTCTTTTAAGGGATTTAAACGAAGACCCAAGAGCCATTCGAAGAAGAGTGGAAAAAGACAAAGCTACTGATAAAGATTGGGTAACGTTCAAGCAAAACCCGGCGCGATTCACTCAGGTAAACTAATATGAGCTACAGGTGACTCTACTTGACGGAATGGTGGAAAGATGGAGTGGTGTCGGAGTGGTAGAATATCCTAGCTACAACGCAGAATGCCTTGTTATATGAAACAAAAGTGTTGCAAAAATGGAATTGCATTGAAATAAGAAAAGATTCATAATTAACAGAAAAAATTTAAAAAAGCGTAGTTTAATCGTTAATGGAGCCTAGAGAAGTGACCGAGAACAGTGAAGTTATTACTAGCCCCCTATAAAGTTATCATAACTATTACTTTTGTTAACATTATTATCATTGTTGTTATTATTATTATTATTATTATTATTATTATTATTGTCAATGTGATTATTTCTTACCATTTGATCATTTGATCATTGTGATTATTTCTTGCCATTTGATGATTGTGATTATTTCTTACCATTTGATCATTGGTAGAATTTCAACTAGTCACTATATTCTTGAATTATCTTTCTCTTGTGGGACGGGGCAGTTCTTTTTTTTTGTTTTACATGCGAGACCATTCTTCTGCAACAATACCTTCTAGTGTCATTAATCACCTCTCGCTCTCTTCGGTGTTGTACTGAAAAATTGTGTTTTATTAGTAGCAAAATGCAGTCTTAAACTTCCGGCCTTTCTTATTCTTTGTTACAGCGTGGAACCCGTAGAGGTACAAGACGCATCTCAATCCACCCAAATGCTATTCAACGTTTCTCGATTACAAACAGTGGTGGCCAGGCCCCTACGCCGGGTCCTAGTTCGCTTCGTGTTCCAGCGGATGCTCGACCCCGGAGTGGAACGAGTAACACGGGAGAGACTGTGGCGTCATCTCGGACAGAAATAACAACAGAGCAGACGTTAGCTGATCAGAGGGTTCCCCAAAAAGAGGACAGTGTTAGCGAACTTCAAAGCAATGCGCCGAATAATGGTAAAGTTTTTGTTTCCTTAGACAGAGGGCCTTCCCTTAGGTAATTATTCAGGAACCGCTCGCAGAGTGATCCAGAAGGCGCTTAATTTCTCTCGAGCATTTGTTGACCTAGAGGATTGGATAGTGGTGCAAGCAAATCTTAGACCTCTGTATTGAGAGTAAACCTGATCCATTTGGGGTTTAACAAGTACAGTGGAACTCTGCTAAATCGAACTCGGTTGACTCGAACCCCCACGGTAACTCCAACTAAATCTGATTTTCCTTGGCGGTCCAATTTTTTCACTCATTTACTGTCAGCTACATTGAACCATTTTTTGATTCCCTTAAGTGTTCGAGTTGGGGGGGAGGGGGGGGTAATCTACTGTAATTACAACTGCGCAATTTTTCAAAACGGTTGTGAGCGGTCACTGGGAAGAGTCCCTCCTAATACAGTTTTTTTTTTCTGTCTTGTTTTGTTTTGTTTTGTTTTTTTGTAACTCTCATATGATTATCTATGCCTATCAATATCTCCTCACTTGACCACTTCTCTCTCCTTCCACCCTGGACGTAGGGCCCACTGTGAAATTTATAGACCCAAAGATAAGAGCCGTATCAGCCCCGCCTGGACCAGTGGGTGACCCAGCAGTCGCAACAGGGGTATTACCAGTAACCATGTCTAACATCACGTTAAATGGGGCCCCTCAGAACGGAACACAGTCAGGTACCGACAAAGTGACGCAACCAACGAAGCTTCAAAAACAAAAATCGTTCACAGTGACAACAGTATATACTCCACCGTCAAACCCCAGTAAAGCCATGCAGAAGCTACGCGCCAAGACAAGGGCTGCCAAGGCATTCAAGAGCACATTGTCGGTGAGTGATACAACTGGCGTTCGGACATACACTCCTGAAAGCCCACGTACCATTCTAACTTAGCTTGTGCTTAGAAGACCTAGTAGGGGACTGATGTCCTATTGTTTATATACCAGTACTTTCTACAAATCCTTAAATAAATAATAAATGAATAAGAAAAAAACAAAGTAACGTACAAGAAGATCTTTCCACCTTTTGCACATTGAATAGCATTATCAATATTATTTTCGTTAGTATCCTGTTCGTAAAATTACGATCTTGAGACAGCGGTACAATACGATCTTGAGACAGCGGTACATAAAGAGCGATACATTTCGAAATGACCATTGACAGCAGTGATACCTATTATTGCCGCCATAGGCATTTCGATTGTTCTTCAGTTTGTAAATGCCATGTAAGATGCCAATGGACAATGCTAATTGTAGCAACCAAGTTAAGAGTGTTAGAATGAGGAAAAAAAAGTCAATTACTTAACGTTTCAAGTTGCTATCCTCTTTTTCATCTCATTTTTCTCCATTTTCCCCCTCTACCCTGTCGCCTTTCCCACTCTCATTTTCATATCCTCTTCCTCCTTATTCTCCCTCTTTGGCTCCTTTTCGTAGCACTGTTATCATCATTATTACCAAAATCGTCATCGTCATTTCCAGCTATATCATCGTTTACCTACATGTATCACCTGGGCATTTATAGTTTGGCCGAAACGACTGTGTAGCAGTGGCTATTATCAGGTATCGAAACAGACATAATATCTTTGTTTCAGCAAAAGGAACTGGAAAAATTAACGTCGAAACCAGAGGAACAACAAACTTCTACAGATTCGCGTGTCAGGGCCTGGGTGCAGGCTACGGGTGAGTATAAGACTAGTTATTTTTTTGTTGTCTTTCTTTGTTTTTTTTTTTCTTTGGTTCTATTTGATTGTTTTTGGAACACAAGGACATCACAAACAATGGTTTTTTTCCCTGTATTTGTTATTTTTTCTTTTGTTTAATTGTAAGTGAGACTAAAATCTGAACGCACTGTAAGGTTTTGTCGCTGATGTAAATGTGAAGAATCAGATAATGTACATATCATGTATGTTAAGAAGTCATTATCGATCAATAACGACAAAAAAATTGTTCTCTCTCCAGGTGCAGTGAAGAACAAGAGGTATGCAGTCATAATTCGTTACTACCACATAACTTCCTTGTTTGATTTTCTGTCTCATTGTTTGCTGATTGGTTTGATACAAACCATACAAGTCCCCAGAAAGTTTCTTAGTTTAGGAGCCATCATAAAACGTAGTTTATTATACAATTTGGGTTTTTCTCAATATTTCAAAAACTCAACAGCGACCTTGAATTCTTGGTGCGACGGGTTAAACATCATTTCTCTCTCTTCAAGATTTGCAGCGGCGGCAATCGCAGCATTTGGTACCATAAGCTTGGATCATCGCGTGGAAAAAGTCCCGATTGATCTGAAGACAAAATTCAACGAAGTCGCAGACGAGAAAGCGCTGGTATTGCACGATAACTTGGAAGTTAGGGACAGGTTAGTTTTTATTGTTGTTGTTATTTTAAATTTGTTTTTATTGTTGTTGTTGTTGTCACTGACTGTTGTTTATTTTGTCTTTGTGTAAGTAGACCGTGTACAGGTTCTCCACTTTCTCGGTGACAACCCGACGGGGTGGGGGTGGAAAGCTGGCGAAAGTGGAGGAAATGTCCGCATCCTACCCCATTGCACTTTGTCACTTTGTCACTTACTGTCATTAAGATCGAGTTGTCACGCGGGGCGGTGAGATCTTTTGGGTGTTCGTCAAGGAGAAAAAGTAATGTAAAATGTAAGGTGCGGTAACAAGAAATGGACGAAAGATAAGAGACAGTACTCTAATTCTTAAATGTGATCTATCTTTTTATTTGTAGAACCCGACTACAAGTGTTGGAACGTAAATTGATGTGTCTGGAGACATTTAATAACATCTACAAAGCCCTGGATCAGATTAGAAGTGGCAGTGTATTACCTGACACAGAAACCAATGAGGAGATGAGACAGCGAGTCACGGAGGAATGCAAATGGTTTGTACATCAACAGTTTTCACTAAATTTATTATTTTTTGTGCTTCGAGTATCTGCATACTTACAAAAATTTAATTTAGTCTCAAATTTACAGAGTTGCACATCAATTGTACTTTCTTCGAGATAACCATCTTTATAACGAATTGATTTAAGCAAAACAACTGAATATTTATAAGAGTATCTGTATTGATAAGAACTATTGCCAACTGGGGTTACGTATAGTAAAGAGCACTCTTTGAATGGATGTCGTGAAGTCAACACTGAAGTAATGACAACTGCCAATCAGAAAAGAGGTTTATCGGAAGGGGAGCCAATGAGAATCCAAGTTAATGTATGTCGTCAGCCTGAAGCGCGGGAAAGCATCTGATTGGTTTTATTTTAGTTGTTTTGCGTTAGCATTTTAAACTGCCATTGATTTTAGGTACAAGGACTTACTAAGTAATCTACCTCAAGAAGTGAGGGATGATCGCTACTGCACTCTGGTGTTAAACAAGATCGCTAGTTATGGCTCCGTAAGTATTTTAAGATGATTGTTGAGGAATTTTTTTGTTGTGCATGTTTTTGCGAATGATTAGCGAAGGCTTTAAAAAAATGGCTGATGTGTTCTTTATGGCCTGAGATGGGAGAAAATCGTCGGATACAATGGCCTTTAATTTTTTCTTAGGATGTTTTCGGTTAAGGAATAACCTTGTTCCTTTAAAACAAATATAGACTGATTTCCTTTTACTTCGCTTATCTCAGTGCGTTCTGACTGCGCAGAAATTGAATTCCCGTTGAGTGGGTTGTCTGACTAAGATATGTTTTCGAAAGTTAAGCGTTAATCATAAGTGCAAGACGACGATAAAATCTGTCTCCCGTTAGATTCGGATCCGGGCCAGTCTAAATCTCGCCATCGACTACCGCACCAACCTCACTTAAAAGAAATTGTCGGTGAAATAAGCAAAGTATTGTTCATATGGGGGTATGATTTTTTTCTTAAGCTGGAAGGACGAAAGATAAGTGGTAGTCAATTCCTGAAGGTGCTATCGACGCTCCGAGTGTGGGAAATCTGTGCTCCTGATATAAATCCAGCTATAGAGGTAACTAACTCTTAACAATAAGGACATTTCTGAGTGAAAGGGGGGATCTTCTGATACGACGAGAGTGTGCAACCTAATATTTTCATCTTGTTCATTCATTCATTCATTCATTCATTCATTCATTCATTCTTTCATTCTTTTTTATTCACACTTATTCTACTAAAAATACAACAACGAGAAAGAGAAAAAGTAGAAAAAAAATATATTACTCATTGAATATTACTAATTTAAAGTTGTTTAGTCTTTGGCTGAAACCGCATTTTGTGGTCATCCAAATAAAAGTTTCCATGTTGTACAAGTTGGTCTTGGGCCAATTAAAAGGAAAATCTTTGTTTAGTTTTTTTCTCAATAATATTTTTATGTTTACCCCAGAACCTGATCCTAATAATGTATCTTTACCAATCCAATACCCTGAAGTATTTTCAAAAACAGTAGTCTCACTATTTTTGTTTCATTTTTATTTGGACAGTTTGTCCGTGAGAAGATCGTAGAGATGTCAGAACTGGAGTTTGAAGATTGGCTAAACGCTAAATTTCCTCAACCACAGAGACCTGTTTCTGCGCCGCCTCCGAGAAGCAGTGGGTTTCGATTTTAAGTAGGTCAATTGTTAGGATAAACTGAGAAGCCTAAACCAAAAACACGGAGCGGCCCTTCAGAGACGTTTCTTTTGTTCTAGTAGAGACGGGTGGGAATGGCGTATTGTCCAATTGTACGAGTTTCTTTATTATTATTGTTTTTGGTCGAAATTCCGGCTCACAATAGAAAACTAATTAAAAGGGCAGTTGTATTAGGGCAAACAGTGGCAGACTCAGGCCTTGAGCAAACTGTGGGGGGGGGGGGTACACCTGCCGGCTTTTCTTCCTTCTGTATTTATCTTTTACCCACAATGCGAGGGGGGCACCCCCTCCCCTTGATCCGCTACTGGTAACGTAGTGGATGCTTCTTTCTTGGGGTATTTTAAGCAAATTTTATTGATACAGTAAAGGGTTTTCAAGCAGAGTTCAATATCTCAACCTTGTGCAAGCAGAGTTCAATATCTCAACCTTGTGCAACTAGGAAAAGCAATCTCAAAGGAATCGAGAGTCTGTTGGTTAGGGTGTATCGTGTTAACGCTAACTTAGATTACTATTCCATACTACTTCACACTTACTCGAGTCTGCCTGGAAAAACTTGGTTCATGTCTGAAACACCCAGGGTAAAACTAGAGTCGGTATCCAAGGACATTGCAGTGTAAATTTGATGTAACACTCAGTTTTATAATCAACAATTCTCATTGATATCTAAGAATGATTCGTGTTCTGCTCGTTTACGAAAATACAACCTTTTGCCAAATACTGATGGGTATTTTGAAGACTAAATTTTTGAACACATTGAAAGCATCGCTCTATTTCTTATATTTTTATACCTATTTTTCTTGATAGAAAGTTTAGCGACTTGTAAGTTGCATATGTTTTCTAAAATAAGACTTTTGTCATAAACAGTCTGTAGAGTGAAAATTAAGGTTGAATGATTACTTTATATTTGTACGTTCCTTGCAAACTACGAATAGATAACATGAATAGAAAATAAATATTTCCTTAAGCATTTTTATTTGTTCGTTCGTCTGTTCGTTTGGTAGCGGCGTTGAAGTGTTTTGTCGGGCCCAACCCCCTCGCAACCGATCATTTGGTTGTGTCACGGAACCCGAAAGAGAGTGTATAGTGCTACGTGACCAAACAACAGCTGCGATGAAGAGTTGATCTCATTTCGCGTTTCAGGATACTCCGTCATTCCGCCATTCCTCAATCATTTCATCATTCTATCGAGTAGGGTCACCCTGTTATATTGAATACGGGATGAACTCCAATGAGATGGGATCTTCGACTCGTTAGCTCGCTTGAGCTATCAGGAGATGGTATTTTGCGCAGCACAAAAGACAATTGAAAACGCCTGCCTTCCTTCAATCGCACTAATGTATACATTTCGAAAACGTCCCGTGTGCGGAAATAGAAAGAATTTCTTGGGGCTTGAGTTTCTCAAATTTACAGTAATTAGATAACCATTTTACTAACCAATAAACCCCCTAGAATTATCTCAATCAAGGCTCTTGAAAAGCTTCCCTGTTCAAGAGCCTTGGCTTGTCCGTCCTACTCCACGGATGCGAGACTTGGAAAATGAGTAAAGGAGAGAAAGAGAAACTTGACACCTTCCAGACCAAGTGTCTAAAGAGGATTTTCAAGATCCGATGACAACAACATGTCTCCAATAGGACAGTTCTCGAAATGACAGAAGCAGGAAAGATCAGTGAGGTGGATGAAGAGGAACGACGACTGTGCTGTAGCCCTTGGTTGGACACCAGAGGGAAGAAGGAAAAGAGGCCGACCCAAAACAACAGGGCGTCGAATGGTGGAAAAGGAGAGAAACGGCGCAGCCAGGAAAATATGGAGTGTTGTACGCCGTGCAGCTGCAGACGGAACACAGTGGAGGAGAGACGTCCAAGCCTTGTGTGCCCCCTGGCACACAGATTTAAGAGATTTAAGAGAGATAAGATCCGACATGAAAATTTCGCAAACGCCTCGTGTGCGAAAATAGAAATAATTTTTTTGGGGCTAGAATTTCTCAAAATAACAGTAACCAGATCACCATTTGACTAAACAGTAAACCCCCCAGGATGATCTCAGTCAGTGCCATGGTTATCCGCCCCGACGTGTTCAAGGAAGATCAAATTATTTTGGCAGATTTCCATTGACCTTCGTGTTCCTGTTTTAAAACGTGACAGACAGAAGAGACTAGTAAATGGAGTCGAACTCAAAATCCTCCAAAGCGCATCGCGCTCGTGATCTTCTTCCTTCTTTTAAACCTTCTTATCTATCTCTCAGTTTAGTCTTTGTGTTTATAATTCTTCTGTTGAGGAACGAATCTACAAACCATCGTTTGTTGGCGTTGGAAAAACAGATGAGGGAGTTGTCAACAAAGCAGTGTCGTGCTAAGACTGGCTCCGATACAAATCGCAACGAAATGTCCGCTAGGCCGCTATTCGATTCTGATCAAATTTTTGCGAGGAAGGTCAATATTCCCATTGCAACTTCAAAGGAGCACAATCATTCCTCAGGTAAAATAAAAATTGTAACTGTTTAGATTGAATCCGTTCGTTGATGACACTATCCTTTCAAATATCTTGATCGCACGTTCTGAAGGAAAAGGTCCGTCAGCGATGTCGTGATTTTCTAAGAGACAAAACTAAGACAAATCTATGATATTCTTTTAAGCCTTTTTGACGCTCAAAACTAAATATACTGTTATATTTTTTTTTTCGAAACTTTAATTTTACTATAGCTGATGCAAACTCAAATGCAACCTTTGATGATGGAAGGCGAGTAGCCTAGTTTGGCAATGGAGTCATGAACTGTCGTTATGAAATAAATTGTCGTGTAACTTGAGCGCAAGATGGTGTAATCTATTATTGGTTTGCTTAAGCAAAATTCTGAATAGCCTAGCATGAAAATTGGCTTCCTTTCGTTTTCTTGTCAGCACGAAAAGTTTGAGCACCTTTGCATCCACAGGACATATTAACAGATTTCAGAAGGAGGCTTTCGTCGGCATTATGTCGAGGTCATCAAATTAAAGAATATAAGTTGAGGCTATTATAGTGTTTTTTAGTCTTAAGTTCATTCTTACTGTAATGTTGAATTTTTCCTCCATCCTGCACTTTATTCCAGTCAGTCATATGTGTTATCATACGGTTTTAGTGTAGTAAATAAGGTGGACTCATTCAGTTTTGAAATGATAAGCACGTGTAATCAAATGTCTGTTAAAAAAAACAACTTTT